GGGATTCTCTGTTTTTCACAAATTTCTCTTTTGGAAGGGACTTTGTGAGAATATCAGCTAGCTGATCTTCCGAAGGGACATGGCAGACAGTAAGAGAACCATTTTCTACACATTCACGTATGTAGTGATACTTTACATCGATATGCTTAGTTCGTTTATGATATTCGGTGTTTTTAACTAACTGTATTGCACTCTGATTATCCACAAAAAGCTTGGTAGGAACTTCAGTTAAAAAGCCAATTCCTTGTAAAAATATTCGAAGCCACATCACTTCTTGAGATGTTTTCGAGAATTTCTCTTGTGTTTAGAGAGACAGGTACCCACACTTCTTTTCATGGTTCCAATATAGACCGACTCGCAGCTATAAGGAATCCGGTATACCCCGGAAATTGCTGAAGATTCTGTAGGGCCCTTAGCTGACCTTAGACTTTGTCTAATAGTTTTTGTTGGCCTAAATATTGGTTTCCCGTCGTGTTTCTCTAGGATTCTCCCAATCTGGTGTGTAACATTTTTAACATAGGAAAGGAAAGCTTGACCAGCCTAACTGGGGTAACTTTAAGGTATCTGCCCACTATACCGCGTACCAAATCATGACCGTAAACGTACCGGCACATGCTAAAAAATATTCTTTGATATGATTCATATGAACTAACGCCCACTAGACGCAACATGCATGGCACGCGACGTTGCCAAACCGTAGGTCTCTGGCAGCGAAATGGTGTATAAGCGGATTGTAAATCATTTTCAATTTTATTCAGCCATACATTTCATTGAAATGTAGATAATCTCATAGCCATATTCTTTCTTCGTGGTAAACTCTTCTACACGTTCATACTACATTGATGAGTAAGCCGGAAAAACATACACATTACCTATAGTTGTCAAAGGGGTATCTAACGGTCATCATACCTGTATGATACTGTCATTATACGTGTTGCTTACAAGCTTAAAACACGGTTGATCCATTACAGTGGACAAGGTAAACCGTGTCGTGTTATTTTTCGTGTCTGATACGGTCCTAGCACGGTCATGGTTGGTATGGTATAGTGGGCAGAGACCTTTAGCGTCCTCTCTCCTGGTTCGTATGGCCGCTCGAATTCTCTTTCGCTGTATCCATTCTTATTGAAGGCATTTTAAGGTGATTGAGTTCATCAGGAAGACTCTTAGGTTCATACATACGTCGTGTCTCTCAACCAACGTTTTACATTCTTTGAATACTAATAAATGTATTCTCTCCAAAAACATAATTGAATACAAACATAGGAATAAAAAAGGACAAATCAGAACTGAAACTGAAACAAAAAAAAAGCTCTAATATGTATTGATGTATGTTGAAGCATATGTATATATAAGCATATATTTGTTTAAAAATACTATCTATATATAATATATGTTGTATCATTTGAATATATAAGATATATGTTACATAGTCCTGCGACAAACTAAGCCGCGCAAAGTTTGGCATTACAGATCAGCTGAACGGGAGGATCTTCAAGACCATTTCCGAAATTTCCCCTGGCTAGATGTTTTTTCAGCTCTAAATATCCATCAACTTGTGCTTCTGAAGTTACGGAAGTTATTCTATCATCCATGGCTGCATTTATCCATTTTTCAATGAAACGACTTTCTAACGGCAAACCTTGGTTCAACAAAAATTGCGAGCAAGCTGTCGCCTCCAAAAATCCGCCTCTAGCGGCAGTGGCGCAAAAATCCCAGTGACGAAAACTGAACAAGGTTTGATAATGCTCGCGACAGCTGCAAACTCAGGATAAATGAAAGCAAAGAACTTCACAATCAGAGAAATAGGAATAAACTGCTTACCAATCCCAACGGAACTAGATCCTTCTGGTCGGTAGCTGAAGCTGTTAATCAGAACTTTACAAAATCCACAATTCCACCACTAACACAAGCGGATGGTTCAATTGCAACAACAGCCATAGGAAAAGCAAATCTACTAGCTGAACAAATTGCGTTACTTTCCACAATCGATTTTCTGGTAAAGCCCCACCCGCTATTCCCACTCTAGACTCCACAATGTCGGCAATTACTTTTCGACAGCGTCTAGTCAAGGCGTCTGGCCCTGATGAAGTACTCGTCATCGTACTTAAAAAGTACGCAAATGAACTCCCACCAGTATTTTGCACACTTTTCAACCTGTCTTACAAGAAAGAGATTATTCCTTCTTGTTGGAAGATTGCTCGCGTTCAGCCTATTCCCAAAAAGGGCAAGAAAAATCTTTCAAATAACTATAGACCATTCGCTTTGCCATCAGTGACATCAAAAATCATGGAGAAAGTCGTAAACCACCATATCCTCAAATATTTAGAAGGCTTCAACATCTTGAGTGATCATCAATATGGCTTTCGGAAACAAAGATCAACAAGAGCTGTTATGAAGGAACACAATTTATGAAAGGATGAGAGATCTGAGTTTTTTGGTTTACACAAGTTGATTGTAGGCTTCTTGTAGTTCGTACTATAGACTCTATAAGTTGCTTTTGAAGTTTTCTATTGATTCCAATTATTGCCATTTCCCACACTAATGATAGATATGGATTGTTTCACAAATGAAATGTAAGTAAATCGATGTAAGATATTTTAACGAAATTTCTTATTTTGAATGAAATGTTCCTCTCCTCATTGTTTCAATATGTCTTGTCCACGAAAGCATTTAATATTTCCATTATGAAATTTGATTGGATCCTGCGAATCGGTTGATGTAGACCTTTTCGTTATAAATATGTACGGTGACAACTTACGAGTACCTATACCATTGAATGTGATGTTTCGTCACTACTTGATGATGTCATTAGTACACATTTATATTTTACCTAATAAACCCTCTGAAGCCAGTTATAGGAACAAAACAGGCCCAAGAACTGATCCTTGCAGTACTTGAGATATTATATTTTGGTATTCAATTGATAATTTTTCCTACGTAGACGTACTGACTGATATCCATATCATCTGTTACGCTCAAAAGAATTTTCTAGTACACACAGCACAATATCAAATTCCTGCTTTAGGTCTAATGAGAGAACCCATTTTTATTTTGATAAAAATAGAGTTGGAATTAGTTATGGCATAAAATACTACGAACTCTGTGTCACTATTTTTCAAAATCCATATTGCCACATCTTAAAATAATTTTTATTTCTCAACGTACTCAAACAGTATGATTTATCAATTGTTCCAGATTAAACTGATGAAACTGAAAATGTTCTATTATTTCTCATTTGGTTTTTTCTGTTTTCAGTAATGGTTAATTTTTTGAATTTTAAGTACATTGAAACCATTGAAAACAACTTCTCTTCCCCAGAACAAATTGGTCTCTCTCTCGACACGCGTTTTGCTAACTAAATTAGCATCATCAGGAGATGACAAAAGTATAATGAAATTTCATTCCTTTCATCAGAAGTGTTTATGGATTGTTCGAATAGTTCGACTAGTTGAGATATAGAATGATAACACGGAAAAACTAGGTTTTGCATTTGCGATTTATGAAAAGACGGTAAAGGATCGGATAACAGATTATTTTTGGTACATTTGTCCTTTGGCAACAGTAAAATGTCATGATGTAGAAATAAATAATGAAAAAAATACCGTTATATGCATTGTTACTGGCTGAACAGAATTGAATTGTTTTCAACAGCTTTACTCTGAAAATTAAATAAGTAACAAACCTCAGATGAACTACACAACATTAAAACTAATCGACATTTCATTTCTCAATACAGGGTTCAAATGGTTCATCATTTGCGAACACATTTCCACCAAAGTATCAACGGCATGCGAAGGATTTTGGTGGATGAGAACGTAATATACATTAAGAATAATAATATTTCATTTAACAAAAAAATCGCATCACAACCACTGTTATATCGCAATGCAGAATGATTAGTCGCGATCCTTTGTTTGCAGGCATGTTAGGCGTACACATTCTCGAACCATCTGTCCACCCTTTCGTAACTGAGTCGTGAGAGTCATAATGTCGTCCAAATAGAAAATTTGCCGTTGTTCTTGTCGAATTTGGTTATTTGTTCTAAGTATGTGTTACGCAATTCCACTATTCTTCAGCTTTCCATAACTACTTGACGTTTGTTTATTATTGTAAATCTAAATGCTAGTTTCTTTATCCAATTCTGAAGAGTTTTGTCATAACAGCTCACGTTATGGCCGGAAGTATTCAATTTCTTTTTAATGATTTCAGTTGTAGGAATCTCATTGCTTTTGTAACAGTCGTATATTGTTTTTTTTTCAATGATTTTATCAGATGAACATCTAAAGGTTCTGTTAATCCCGTATCACATCGCGTCTTGCGTTCAAAGGTTTGTTTTTGACTATTTTACGTACAGTTGAAAAAGGAATTTCGGTCAAAGTTGATGTTGCTTGTAATAATTTGTTTTCCTCGAAACCAAACTTTAGATGTAGATTCTTACATACATTGAAACATACTCTCTGTGTTCCAATATTCACATGCATCTAAATCTTCTTCAGTGGTATCTCTTCTTCGCATTGTTCACCATCGCTATTGGAATCACTATACTGGAAAAAATCTACGTTGTTATCACACTCGTTATTACTATTAGTAATTGTCCAAGAACGCCACCTTTAAGTATGCACAATACCGTTTACTTCGACTATACCTATACCTATGGTAAGTATATTTAGTTTGATATTCCTCTTGAAGATGATCACTTGGTGATAGAAACACGTGTCGAGGTGTGAAAATAACGGTTTGGTGGTGGTAAAAAACTCCAGTAATATTAATTTTGCATTATAATGTCAATCGTAAAGAAAAAAATTGAAATATATATTGAATAATTGCAGTTATGACTCTGCACCAGTATTCAATTCGTGATGATAGTTTTTGGAACACGTCCAAAAACAATTTGCACTAGTTTTATAGACACGAAAATTTATTTATTTTCTAATGTTGACTTTATACTCTCCTACCCATCAACCATTTTTAGAATAATCTGAACAAATATATATACTCACAGTCTTTTCAAGGACGGAAGATTTGCAAAAGTTCCAGCTTCGAACCGATCGAGAAGATTATTGTGCAAATATCTGAAAGTGAAATCAATAATTAGTCTTTTCCAAATGAAAATACTTGAGCTTATTATGAGTTCAACAAATCTGGCTAGTTAAATAAAACGTTATAGATGTCTAATAAATTATGAAATATTAAAAATAATTCTGAGAAATTGACTTCATAGACTCATATACGTGATTGTTGAAACATTCGTGAAATTATTTATTGTTGAACTATAAATACAAGAGATTTATTATCTCATTAGCGAAAGATGATTCATCACTTTACAAAATTACGTTTTTTATGTAACAACCACTACGTTATTAAATCAAGTATCATAAAGAAGGAAACGGAATCTTTGTATAAGGGAAAACATACAAGTACAGAAAAAATAATTAACTTGTCACTACTGAAACACTAACGTTTGTCAAAGAAATTTTTTTATTTTTATAAAATTTGCCCCACCACGTTTAACCTTGAAACGACCTCCATCTACAACTACCGGACTGTGTCATGGCCAGTGGGAGAAATCGTTTCTGCGTAAAGTTTGGGTCGGTGTATGGCAAAGAAAGTATTAGGAAAAAAGGAATAGAAACTTTTGTTTGCAATTTTACGTATTTGGATGTTCACGGCTCGAATAATCCAACAGACTGATAACAGATTTCTACACATCTACTGCACATCTTGAGGGAGGGGTTTCTCACCGGCCAACACTCAGTCCGGCAGCTGTACGTCGCACGATGCAGTCATGGTGACTTTGAGGGAGTGTTAGGGTTTGACCTTCAATGACTTTGACCTACGTCACCGATATAGACAAGGTGACTTCGAGTTAGTATTTTGGGTTTGACCTTGAAAGACTTCGATTGATGATTCACGCCCCATATTTTCGACAAAATGAATTTGATCCCGAATGTACGCAAGCCAGTCAGGCGGCTCTTTTGAAGTTTCAAGAATTCGACCTTGAACAACCTCCAACTGCGTGGACAAGGTGGCTTTCAGAGTAATATTTTTGACAAGGTGATTTTGACCTCGAATGAACTAGAGGTATCTCGAAGATATAAAGATTCAGCTTTGAACGACCTTTAGCTTCAAGGACGAAGAGGCTTTTGGAGTGTATTTTTGTTTGACCTTGAATGCCCTTCTGCAATATCCTATACCTCTGCTGAAGTGAGTTTGGGGGTTCATATGCGAACTCTTTCCCTCCCCAACCTTTGAAAAAACGTATAAAAGCGGGGCCACTCACTCACAGACGTCCGCTGAAGAGGCATAAGCCTACAGCAGGGCCCTACACAAAACACACTTCAAAATATTTTGTAATTATTTCTTAAAAGATCAATAAACGTTTTTGACTTGACTTGACTTGACTCACATACGTCAGTTTGATATCGCGTGAACTGGACATTCCTACAAATATATTTCACCGTGATAGATGCAAGTTATTACAAGTAAAAAATTTCAGAAAAAAAAAGGATTTCGATTTGATTGTGGTGGATTACCGGTTGATCTAGCAACAACCATTGATTTTTTCAAATGGCACGAAGAATTCGGTGACAGGCAAATGATAAGCTTAAAAAAAGTAATAATCCAATTTTTGTGAGTTCAAAGCAGAACCCGTGATACCTTAGCTAATGGAAGTGTGAAACATTCTGGAATAGAATACGAAATTAGATTGAAATTAGCCTAAATTCAGGACCTGATTAAAAGATCAATAAACGTTTTTGACTTGACTTGACTCACAGACGTCAGTTTGATATCGTGTGTACTGGACATTCCTACGAATATATTTCACCGTGATAGATGCAAGTTATTGCAAGTAAAAAATTTCAGAAAAAAAAAGGATTTCGATTTGATTGTGGTGGATTAACGGTTGATCTAGCAACAACCACTGATTTTTTCAAATAGCAAGAAGAATTCGGTGACAGGCAAATGATAAGCTTAAAAAAAGTAATAATCCAATTTTTGTGAGTTCAAAGCAGAGCCCGTGATAACTTGGCTGATGGAAGTGTAAAACATTCTGGAATAGAATACAAAATTAGATTGAAATTAGCCTAAATTCAGGACCTGAAACTTAATCGTAAAACCAAAATAGTTCAATTTACGTAGGTACAATTGAAATCTCTGGATCTTCGTTTCGTCTGGATCAAATTGCTCGCTACTGACTTTTTTTCACGTGAATCAAACTAAAATGTAATTCTGTACACATGTGAAATGTTAATGACAAGAAGAAATGTTTTCTTCGGGAAAAGTGGTTTGTAGTAGACTGAAGGTTTCATTCGATGCAATTATAGAAAATTCAATTTTCTCCTGTTTCGGATTGTGAAATGTGAAAATAGTCAAAAATACTAAACTACATAATACTTACAGTCTTTCCAACCTATGCAATTTTTGAAATACATTTGAATCCAAATAGCGAATCCTGTTGTCGTAAAGATAAAGATTTTGCAAATTGAGCAATCCATCGAAGACTCCGTTTTTCAAAGAAGTCAAGTAATTGTTGTTGAGTAACAAGCTCACCATGTATCTGTTGTTCTTGAAAGTGCCTTGATGTAATTCTTTTATTTTATTGAATCGGAGGTCCCTGTAACAAAAACATATCTCAAAACATGCGTCAGGCAATTCAACAAAAAACATGTCACAGTCTCAAACACATTTTTGCATAACCGGCTTAGTGTAGGCCCTTAGAGTGGTTTATTACAGTTTTGAATTTGTGTAGTAGAAAAACTCTCGATGAAATCAACAATAATAATGAATTATTTGTTCTTCAGATCATTCAAAGATATAGAACACGTAATAATACTATGCTAGAAACATTGTTTATACTACACATCACAAAATAGTAGATACAATAAAACTTTGTTCATGAAGATTTGTCCTGAAATACAATACAAAACACAAAGTTGAACGTACACCTATACTTCATAAACAAAGTAAAACATTTATACAGTGTGTAACAACGAAAACTTAACAGAGCCGTTTTTAAATATAAAAAGTAAGATTTTTAAAAAAAGCTCAGACACGTCGATTTATAATTAAAGGGGGACACCTTTCAGACTAATCAGGTATGCACCTGAGGGGGGTGCATACTACATACTGCATACGTGTCCATTTGATTTCGTAAAAAAGTAAGAATTATTTGTTTATTACGAGGAGATGTTTTCGGGGGATGGGGTTGGTTACCATCCTTACATTTTAGGTAAATTGAGTGGCACCTCCTTATGAAGGTTGCCTTTTGACGTGGATATTTTATGCTTCTGATAAAAAAGTGAATCATACT